CTAGGAAGTAATTTAAGGTCCTTTGTGCCTCCCTAGCAGTTCTTTGCGCACCTGAGCAGTCCTTAGCGGTCCAGCAACTCATCAAAAACATAAAATCTATCACCCAAATTATATTTTTTCTTAAAATAAAACATTTTTTCTCACTAAATATACTACCATATATTATAAGAATGCCCTAGGAAGTAATTTAAGGTCCTTTGGGCCTCGCTTATAGTCTTTTGTGTACCTGAGCAGTCCTTAGCGGTCCAGCAACTCTTCGAAAACATAAAATCTATCACCAAAATTATAATTTTTCTTAAAATAATACATTTTTCCTCACTAAACATACTACCATATATTATAAGAATGCCCTAGGAGATATTCAAATGTCCTTTGTGTCTCCCTAGCAGTCCTTAAAGCTTTGTGCTCCTAAGAGGTATTTTAAGATTCCTTGTACCTCCCTATCAGTCCCTAGCGGTCCTGCAATTCATCGAAAACATAAATTCTATCGCCAGAATTATATTTTTCCTTAAAATAATACATTTATTTATCTATTTATTACTACAATATAATATAAAAATGCCCTAGGAAGTAACTTAAGGTCCTTTGTGCCTCCTTAGCAGTTCTTTGCGCACCTGAGCAGTCCTTAGCGGTCCAGCAACTCATCGAAAACATAAAATCTATTACCAAAATTATATTTTTTCTTAAAATTATACATTTTTTCTCACTAAATATACTACCATATATTATAAGAATGCCCTAGGAAGTAATTTAAGGTCCTTTGGGCCTCGCTTATAGTCTTTTGTGTACCTGAGCAGTCCTAAGCAGTCTGGCAACTCATCGAAAACATAAAATCTATCACCAAAATTATATTTTTTCTTAAAATTATACAATTTTTTCTCACTAAATATACTACCATATATTATAAGAATGCCCTAGGAAGTAATTTAAGGTCCTTTGTGCCTCCCTAGCAGTTCTTTGCGCACCTGAGCAGTCCTTAGCGGTCCAGCAACTCATCGAAAACATAAAATCTATTACCAAAATTATATTTTTTCTTAAAATTATACATTTTTTCTCACTAAATATACTACCATATATTATAAGAATGCCCTAGGAAGTAATTTAAGGTCCTTTGGGCCTCGCTTATAGTCTTTTGTGTACCTGATCAGTCCTTAGCAGTCTGGCAACTCATCGAAAACATAAATTCTATCACCAAAATTATATTTTTTCTTAAAATTATACATTTTTTCTTACTAAACATAATACCATATATTATAAGAATGCCCTAGGAGATATTCAAATGTACTTTGTGTCTCCCTAGCAGTCCTTTGTGCCCCTAGGAGGTATTTTAAGATTCTTTGTACCTCCCTAGCAGTCCTTAGCAGTCCTGCAATTCATCGAAAACATAAATTCTATCACCAAAATTATATTTTTCCTTAAAATTAATAATACATTTTTTTATCTATTAACTTACTACAATATAATATAAAAATGCCCTAGGAAGTAATTTAAGGTCCTTTGTGCCTCCCTAGCAGTTGTTAGTGCACCTGAGCAGTCCTTAGCGGTCCGGCAAATCATTGAAAGCATACATTCTATCACCAAAATTATATTTTTTCTTAAAATTATACATTTTTTCTTACTAAACATAATACCATATATTATAAGAATGCCCTAGGAGATATTCAAATGTACTTTGTGCCTCCCTAGCAGTCCTTTGTGCCCCTATGAGGTATTTTAAGATTCTTTGTACCTCCCTAGCAGTCCTTAGCGGTCCTCCAATTCATCGAAAACATAAATTCTATCACCAAAATTATATTTCTTCTTAAAATACTACATTTTTTATCTATTAACTTACTACAATATAATATAAAAATGCCCTAGGAAGTAATTTAAGGTCCTTTGTGCCTCCCTAGCAGTTGTTAGTGCACCTGAGCAGTCCTTAGCGGTCCGGCAAATCATTGAAAGCATACATTCTATCACCAAAATTATATTTTTTCTTAAAATTATACATTTTTTCTTACTAAACATAATACCATATATTATTAGAATGCCCTAGGAGATATTCAAATGTACTTTGTGCCTCCCTAGCAGTCCTTTGTGCCCCTATGAGGTATTTTAAGATTCTTTGTACCTCCCTAGCAGTCCTTAGCGGTCCTCCAATTCATTGAAAACATAAATTCTATCACCAAAATTATATTTCTCCTTAAAATAATACATTTTTTACCTATTAACTTACTACAATATAATATAAAAATGCCCTAGGAAGTAATTTAAGGTCCTTTGTGCCTCTCTAGCAGTTGTTAGTGCACCTGAGCAGTCCTTAGCGGTCCGGCAAATCATTGAAAGCATACATTCTATCACCAAAATTATATTTTTTCTTAAAATTATACATTTTTTGTCACTAAACATACTACCATATATTATTAGAATGCCCTAGGAGGTATTTAAATGTCCTTTTTGCCTCCCTTGCAGTCCTTTGTGCCCCTAGGAGGTATTTTAAGATTCTTTGTACTTCCCTAGCAGTCCTAAGGGGTCCTGCAACTCATCAAAAACATAAATTCTATCACCAAAATTATATTTTTTTCTTACAATAATACATTTTTGTCTATTAACTTACTACCATATATTATAAGAATGTTCTAGGAGGGATTTGAAGGTCCTTTGTGCCTTCATAGCAGTTGTTAGTGCACCTGAGCATTCCTTAGCAGTCCGACAACTCTTACAAAACATGAATTTTATCACTATTATGATATTTATCCTTAAAATTATACATTTTTATCACTAAACATACTACCATGAATTATAAAAATGCCCCAACAGTTATTTTAAGGTCATTTGTGCCTCCTTAGGAAATATTTGAGGTCCCTAGCAGTCCTTTTCGCACCTGAGCAGTCCTTAGGGGTCCCGCAACTCATCAAAAACATAAATTCTATCACCAAAATTATATTTTTTTCTTACAAAAATACATTTTTTATCTATTAACTTACTACTATATAATATAAAAATGCCCTAGGAAGTAATTTAAGGTCCTTTGTGCCTCCCTAGCAGTTGTTAGTGCACCTGAGCAGTCCTTAGCGGTCCGACAACTCTTCAAAAACATAAATTTTATCACTAAAATGATATTTTTTCTTAAAATAATACATTTTTTGTCACTAAACATACTACCTTGTATTATAAGAATGCCCTAGGAGGTATTTTAAGGTCCTTTGTGCCTCCTTAGCAGTCTATTGTGTATCTGAGCAGTCCTTAGCGGTCCGACAACTCATAAAATTTTCACCAAAATCATATTTTTTCTTAAAATTATATATTTTTTTTCACTAAAAATAATACCATGTTATGTAAGAATGGCCTAGGAGGTATTTTAAGGTTCTTTGTGCCTCTTTAGTAGTCCTTTGTGGCTCCTTAGCAGTCCTTAGCGGTCCTTAGCAGTCCTTAGCATTGTTTAGTAGGACCGCTGGATTTAGGCTCCTTCACAATCCAATTTTTTTTTTATTTTCACAGGAAAAAAATTCAAAATTCCTTGCAGATTTCGCAAATGATCATACTTTGATTTTAGATACTAGATTGTTTTTGTTTTACTTTAATATGAAATTAGGTGCTACCTATGGCGCGGAAAGATCTTATGAATTATGATTTTAGCATAACAAAATGTTACATGTTTAGTGTACATGTAAACCAGATCTTTCTTGCAGGTTTTTTGTACCATAAACAAAACGAATAATTTGGTGGTGTTCAACCTATCATTTGAGCGATCGGAATATTCCGAAAATATCCGAACGTAAAGGGGGACCACTGCGCATGCGTCGGCGTTCGGAAAATCCCGTCCGCCATTTTTGTTAATCTCTAATCACAGTTTTGGTTTTAACGTTATTTTTAATGTGCTGATTTATCAAAAAGGATATGTTCAAGTAACTTTTTATATTTATAATCGTTACTATAATTCTTATAAATGAAATGTAGGTTTATTTTATGATTTTGTACATAATTCTTTCACCGGAAGTGTTACTTAGCAGACGCTAGCAATAGTCTGAATTATGGAGACGCTCATTAAAAGCGCACTGATATCTATATTTAGCACAAAAGGATTTCAAAATGGCGGCGCCCATTAACTAAGGATTTTTTCACAGCTCATTAGGTATAGGATATATATTTTTTGAAATTTTCATTTAGTTTTAATTTGATTTCATTTCAATTGATAGGCATCATACATGTTATCTAAGAGCGCTACAGCCCTCGCGGGGCCTTTGGCCCCGCTCGGACTTTCCGCGTATAAATCAAATAGGATATGGTTAAATGTGAAGAAACTCAGTGTTGACCAATTTGAATCAGTGAGTTAAAATATTTAAATTAAAACAATCTTCCCTTTCATTTGTTCCATAATTATTTTTTCACAATTGTCTTATTCAACACGCTATTTTTTTCACAAAATGACCAGGCCCCTTCACAGTTTTGGCAAGAAAAGCCCTGTTAAAGTATTTTTTGCTGAAGACAGACCTGTAGGGAAAGTCCACCAATAATGGTGCCAGGAATCAAGATCAAAAACTTGTATTCAACTATTTTATTTAGAACTGTAAAATAAATAAAAAAAAGTAAATAAAAATGAACCCTTGAAGTTGAGTATTGAAATCGTGTTGTGTCAAAAAAGATGTTCAAAACATATGACATGCCATTGCCGGTACTCAGAGCGGTTCCCACAAATAAAGTCAATTATATCATACAAGCTCTCGCGTAACTCCTAAGTGTCATGGTAGACATCAGCCGGTTAACTGATGTTTTGCAGTACGATATGAGAATTAATTGAAAGTATTAATTAATATTTGAATAATTAAGATAGTCTAGACCAATGTTGAAATGATATAGTCTAGAACAATGTTGAAAAACTGGTTTTCTGTTTTATTATTTTTTAGACTGGTTATCTGTTATTTTATTTTTCAGACTGGTTTTCTGTTATTTTATTTTTCAGACTGGTTTTCTGTTATTTTATTTTTTTCAGCCTGGTTATTTGTTATTTTATTTTTCAGACTGGTTTTCTTATTGGAGAAGTAGTACATCATATACATGATACAATCAGTGACTCGCAAATAAATAACAGAGAAGTGAAGACCAAAACATGTAAGCTGTTTAATAGTGTCAATCTCTTGTTAGTTAATTAATTTTAAATGTATGCACTGCTTGGTCTTTTCTTTAAAACAAAACACCTGCAGGTGAGTGTCAAACACTCGAACTAAGTTTTATGAATGTGTAATTATATCACTTAATCAGCATCCATGTAACAAAATCAACACAGGTGTCTAATAGCTGTAGTCCAGTTAACCCACTGTGCAACATTTGGTATACATGCAATTTATCCAAAACACATGTCCATTGAAAGGGTCTGTTAGCTGGAATTAAGTACAATGTCTTTGATTTTTAATCAATGAGAGAAATCTGCAAAATATGTAAGAATAGTTATCACATTCCTCAGTGTTGATCTATTTTGTTTAAAAAATGATACATTTAGTATTGTACATATTGATGGTTGTCTGGTTCTATAAATAGAAATATTATTGATTGATGATTTTCTGTTTTAGATGTATTTGAGTGTTTAAGATGTCCCAAAGACCAGCTGTTTTATAATGGTAAAGGAGATATACAAGTGGAAAAGGTCAAAGACCTCCTACGTGATAAACACAAGGTAATTGTTTTATAGATATTTTGATAGTTACCACATTTTAATTATCAATAAAAGGACTACAGTGTTCATCCTTTCCGGTTAAAATTATTTTTTGAAGAAAATTAATTTTTGACATGTCTTAATTTGAAATTAGATAAAGTAGATGTCAGGTTTGCATCTATTTTCCAAATTTGTATAGAAGCATATTTTTTCAAGGGTGTACTGTCTGTCGTACAATATATTTTTATGCATGCATGATATACTTATAATTTTACACTTTCAGAAAGTTGTTGGTTGGTACTGTTTTAGAAGGAATTCGACTATCCGACCATCATTTAGGGAGAGACTGTTGCACTATAATCTGACTCGGACATTTGTCCAAGATGGGGACAAGTTCTTGTTTTTATTGTGCTCTGCCAAGACCAGTACGAACAGGTCAACACACACGTTTGATCACAGTTTTCTACATGTTGATAATGAGTAGGTGGTATTTTTATTTCCTGTATCAAAGAATTATTATGTAGGAATGCTATGTGTTAGAGAAAAGATTTCACAATACTTCATATCTAATATATTCTAGTGCTTTCAGATCCTTGTGTTAAGCATTGGTATTAATTCTGAAAAACCCATTGGGTATAAGAACTGATGCAATGTTTATTGTTCCTTAGGAATTCAGTCTGACACTTCCTAAATCAAGTACAGGAATTTGATGATGTATGTAGTTTACTTTGATATCTTGCCCTCCCCCCATTCCCTCCAAATACACCAGGTACCTCAATAGAGAGAGCAATAGGCTAGTAAACCAGGGGTCACCAGTTTGGTCCATGGGAGAGGAGAAATTTTTTCAATAGCATTTGATCTCAGACATAGAGTCTAATGCTCATTTGAATGTCACTGTTGTTTCAGAAGTCATGTGGGATTTATAGTTGGTCACTTGCGAAGAAAATGGTAACAAGACGTTATATATAAGCCAGTTAGTGGTTTTGACCGCCAAGATTAAAAAAAAAATGTGTTAAAACCAGAAAAATAAATAAACACACCAAAAACATAGTGTGCTTGTACTAAAACTCTTCAGTTGATATGTTTATGTTAAAAACACAGCAGTTTTGTCAAATAATTTTTTCTTTGCAAGTTGTATTACTTAATGTGTATACATGTATGTGTCTGATTTTTTCAGTGTATTCAAGAAAGTGCCTGTAGAGATTACAAATCTAGGTGATACAACACATACCGAGTATAGGAGTGAGGCCAGTCATACTGTAGATAGCACACATGGTGCCTTTAGTCGCATTGTACAGTCACATGAGTATGTAGTTTTAAATTTGCCCCCTTTGGGGTTATATAGTTGCCCCCTTTTGTCCTTCAATGGTTCCTTAAGTTGGTATTTGATAATCGTGTGCTTTTTTACAATTTCTCCTCGCAACCTCATTTGTTGAGTAATATCTTCTATATTTGGTAGACAGATACCTTAGTCAGTGGGGTTCATTAGGGGTCAAGATTGCTGATGCTATAGATAGAATTTACACTTTTGCTCATGAAGCCTTCATTCATTGACCAATGTGTCTCCTATTTGGTAGGTATCTTGGGTAGTCCTCCAGCTTTGGTTGGAATGAGTTGTCAAAGTCACCAGTGATAATAAACAATTTTATACACTTTTGCTCATAATTTTTATAGCCTTTATTTGGTGACTCATGTGTTCTATATTTGGTAGAAACATACCTTTGTTGGTTCTGTAACTTTGATTAGACAAGTCCCGGGCTATATGACTAACTTGTTTACAAATAAAAGCCTTGTATTTGCCTAAAAATGATTGAGTTCAAAAATTAATCTTAACATTGTTTTTAACCAGGTTTTCCGAAGGAAAAAACTGGTTATTAGATTGAGGTATGTCGGCGGGCGGGCGGTCGGGCGGGCGGGCGGACGGGCGGGCGGGTGGGCGGGCGTAAACAATTTCTTCTGTGCGCAACTCCTCCTACATTTCTCAACGGATTTTGACCAAACTTTCACAGAAGCTTTGTCATCAAGTGCCCTGGCGCATATTGTCGGGGTTTTGCGATTAGATAATATTTGACCTAATTATGGCCCTTTGTTTTTTTTCCTTATATAAAATATATAGTGAACAATTTATTCTGTGAGCAACTCCTCCTACATTTCTCAACGGATTTTGACCAAACTTTCTCAGAAGCTTTGTCATCAAGTGCCCTGACACATATTGCCAGGGTTTTGCAATTGGTATATATTTGACCTAATTATGGCCCTTTGTTTTTTTTCTTATATAGAATATATAGTGAACAATTTCTTCTGTGCGCAACTCCTCCTACATTTCTCAACGGATTTTGACCAAACTTTCTTAGAAGCTTTGTTATCAAGTGCCTGGCACATATTGTCGGGGTTTTGTGATTGGATAATATTTGACCGAATTATGGCCCTTTGTATATTTTTTCCTTATACAGAATATATAGAGAACAATTTCTTCTGTGCTCAACTCCTCCTACATTTCTCAACGGATTTTGACCAAACTTTCTTAGAAGCTTTGTTTTCTAGTGCCTGGCACATATTGTCGGGGTTTTGTGATTGGATAATATTTGACCGAATTATGGCCCTTTGTATATTTTTCCTTATACAGAATATATAGTGAACAATTTCTACAGTGCGCAACTTCTCCTACATTTCTCAATGGATTTTGACCAAACTTTCACAGAAGCTTTGTCATCAAGTGCCCTGGCGCTCACTAAATTCCCATGTTTCATCCAAGACATCATTCAAGTATTTTTTTAAAATTGTGAACATACTTTTCTTGATATCGCACAAAACACCACACGCCAATATTGTTGACAAAAGAAAATGACAAGAGACGCAAAAATGCAAAAATTAAGCAAAAATAAAGTACTGTTTACCTTTCTAAAACATTTGGGGAAAAAAGGCGAATAGACAACATAAAATTTCTCAATCATTTTTTTTTGAGGAATATTAAAAAAGCCATAATTCTTCCTAAAAGTTCAATTAAAAACAAATGCCCCTTCATGACAAAGCTTCTGTGAAATATTTTGCTGAAAACCTGGTTGCATCGCATTGCGATGTTCCTTGTTTTTTTTCGAGTTCTAAAGTTTAAATTTGAAATTTCAAAAGTTATTTCTATTGTAGTTATCATGGTGTCCAGTAATTGATAAATGCATTATTATTTCTACCTGAGGTTAAAAAAGAAATCAAGAAATCTTTTTGAGTCACTGTTTTATGATGTAACGAATCAAGTGCAAATCAAAATATACTTGTTATGGACATGACCTATCTTAGTTTGATGTGGTGTTTTGGTATTTTCAGGGGTGAATTTCTCAATACATTTGGACAGATGGAGGTAAAGAAGGTGCAGATGCTCAATGGTGCTATAAGGAGACAACTAGATGTAAGAGATAGTTTAACCTTTATGTATGTATATAGTGTATGTTTAATGAGGGTCCATCAGCCCCGTTAGGCACAAAAAGCAGCTTTCGCTGTCAAGTATGGACCTCAGACATGTCACCAGTCATTCCCTTCAACAGTATCAATTCTAGGAGGGGGGATTGGGTGATTCACTAATACTTTTGAGAATTATTTTTTCAGAGGCAGGCAGGAAATTTTACATAGAGAAAGAACAAATAAGATCAACAAATGTAATTCATTCTAACTTTCCGATGAAAATCCCCGTTTTTCGAATCCTAGAATAGACACTACTTAAAGAGTTAATTTTGAAGCACAAAGTGGTGATGATTTACCTTCATGCAATTTCCACAGAGTATTAGCCAAAGATATGAATTTTGAACTAAAGTAGGTCACTTGTAGTAGCTGTAGTTTCAGTTCTTTCAGATAATCATATTTAAAAGAAGTACGTTGTTATCAACTTGTTACAGATATTGATATTTTTAGTTTTACCTTTTCAGAGTATATCCCAAACAGTGATAGATAGTGAGGCAAAATGTAGTGACCTTGAACAGGAGGTCGCTATGTACAGAAAGAGAGCAAAGTTAAAACTTCTAGAACAACAACAACAGGCTTTACAGCAGCAAAAAGGGTCAAAAGGTTGGTTCAAAATAAGTTTTATAGGAGTATATTAATTTTTAGCTCGACTATGCGATAAGAATAAGTAGAGCTATCCTAGTCACCCAATCATCGGCGTCGACGTAACCACTTATGTTAAAGTTTTTGTAACACTCAAATATTTTCAAAGTCCATTGACATATGGCTTTGAAACTTTGCACACATGTTCACCATCATAACCCCAACCTTTAGACAGGAGGAGGTAACTCTATCAAGTCTTTTGACAGAATTATGCCCCTTTTTGACTTAAAATTTACTTTTAAAGTTTGCATACCACCTCAGATATTTTCATATTCCTTTGATATCTGGCTTTGAAACAAGTTGAAATTTTATACACTTCTTTGAGAGCATAATAGGAATCTCTCCAAGGCCTATAACCGTCAAATGTTTTAAAGAAAAATTTGGCCCTTTTGATAACTTAAAAAATTCTACATTATCAAGGCTCTTTTACTATCAAGCACTGAGAATAGTCGAGCGTGCTGTCCTACCAACAGCTCTTGTATAAAAATCTAAATATTATAACTGTATATTGTATGACAATTTGATTATTTGGTCAATAGTCAGTACTTATTTTGTATAGAGTTAAATGATTTTGATATGAAGATTCTTTCGCTCTATTATTATACATAACAACTACCTTGTAAAAATGTAGAGACTTCTGGCCGCATGGGTCTGAACTGGGGTGGGGGTGTGGGGTCTCAACGATGGGCAGGTTGTTTAAATCTTCAGTTAGAAACTACACACTCCTTGTTTAGTTCTGGTTGATTTCAGGAACAGATTCAATAGTGTGACTATAAGCTAATAGCTTCCTACATGAAATAAAATAAATTCTATATAAAATGTAGAGGATATAGTATATATTTAAACCTTATATTCATGATTTCATTTATGGATTTAACACTCTGCGTATATAATTGTTGTTCTTATATTCAGTGAGCAAAGGTCCATCAGTAGATGACATTTTATCAATGGATCAAGTAGATGACCTTCCTTCTGAAATATTAGTGGGTCAAGGTCAAAAAGAAAGAACTAAAGGTGAAAGGTCAAAAGGTGATGTGGAATTGAAATCTAGCACAGGTATGAAACAGCAAGACATGGAGACAGAATCAAACTTACTCGACAGATATAGTGATATGAACGAAAAGAAAACGCATCCAGTGAAATTGACTGCTCCTGCACAAATGCATTCGCGTTCGTCATCGTTACCTGTAGACACGTCAAACATCAACTCTAGTCAGTTAAACACTGCGCATACAAGGAGTAAATCTGGAGATGCCAGTGAAGAAAAATCGAAACCTGTTAAAAATGACACCAAAGGAAACAATAGTGAAGATCCTTTTGACTTTGTAGGAAGCATGCTAGCTGAATCAAAGAAAGATACACAAAAATCACATAATTTAGGACAATTAAAGAAAAAAGATACCAGTGTTGATATGGAGACAGAAGAACCGATACCTAGTAAATTTGCAGATCAAAGACAAACAAGACATAAAGATGCAGCTGTTTCTGCAGCTAAATCATTTAATCCGAGTACGCGATTAACTAGAGGTCAGAAGTTAAAAGGTCAAGAACAAGTGACGGAAAGTGTTGTAGGTAAAGGTCAAATTTCAAACAATTTATTGCATGAAAATACAGAGGAGGGTGATGGACTTAAGTTTGAAAAGTCTAAAAATCACGGAAATTTGAAAACTTGCGGACAGGAAGTCACAGAGATTATGACAGACGAGGACTCGACATCACAAGATAATTATGAAATGGACGTGTCAGCCTCTCCAGTCTATTGAGTATATTGGCTTTTTTCCGTCTAGTCATTCTTTTTCATATTCTAACGCCACATTCATCCTTTTACTAGACTCTTTTTCTCCACAATTCTGCAAGAAGAGAAAGTTTATTTTTGTCATGTGTGGAAAATATCCAACTTAATTAAAGGAGGTTGCTCATCATTCAGCTGCATTTCTAAAAAATGAATGTTGTAAAGTAAAGGATGTGGGATTTTTGCATGAAATAGGGTCCGGTAATCTGATTATCTAGGTCTTGTCCCAATAGGCTAAATATTAAAAAACAATCAAATCTTGAAAATTTCCAAAAATTGATAAGATTTCCCACAACTTGAGTGTCAGGACATGTAATGGTTTTTCATGAAAGAACTCAAATAATGAAAGGTTTATTATCAGAAAAAGCGAATGTCTAAACCAAGTTTATTAAATTTTCAAGATTTTTATTTGGTTACCATCACTTCCAAGTTTAATTGGCAATGAATGATTGTTGCAAAAAAAAAATGAATACTTGTAATTTTCCACAAAGAAACTTTGAAATAAATATTTCTAGACATAATTAGACCAAACACAAATTCTATATTGTATGATTCAACTTTATATTCATAATTTTCCACCTGAATTGTTTTGTGATTTTTATATGTACCACCTTATATTTATGAAGGTTTATTAACTTATTACCACTGAATATAAATTCTTGACATAAATATTTGTTCTATTTTTGCCACAAAATATTTCACTAAGAACAATTATTGGAATCCCCTAATATTAGTGGGTTTATTTTGTGGTAATCTTTAGTTTGTCATAGACTATAATGACAACATATTAGGATTGTGTTAACACACTGTATGTTGTGTAAATGATGTATTATGTGTTTTAAACAGTTCATGTTTCATATTTTCACATATAATTCATGATAAATGTGATTTGACCCTGTGTAACTTTTATGCCACTACATTGATCAATCAATTTATTGAAATATGTCCTTGAGTCCTATATGACCTTGAAAGTCTGACCTTGACTTTCAAGGTCAAATTATCGAAATTAGAAACTTTTGGTTTTACATTGCTCTGTAATAACAGATAAGGGACTCTGCATTTCTGTATAATGAATACATCTTGTTTGTATATTTTTATTGGAAATCATATTATGTAATTCTTCTCCAGTAAGTTATTTTTTGTTAAAAATTGTTTTGTTATTTTGTGAGAAAATTTAGAATTATTTTACCTCATTTGTCTATTTATTATATGTAGTTTTACTACCCACCATTTTGTTTTTGCATGTATTTTTTCCAGATATCAACAGTATTTCAACAATACTTGTATGTGTGTATTATTATTTACCATATTTGAAGTTATTAATTTTTGACAGTAGAAATACAAAGAACAAGATCTGTATTCAATACTTTGTATTGATCAAGTCGTTTTGTAATCATGTCAAAGTGACGTACTACTAGTGTGTTTAATGAATTGTATATATGAGCCACGTCACGACAAAACCAACAAAGTGCGTTTGCAACCAGCATGGATCCAGACCAGGCTGCGCATCCGCGCAGTCTGATCAGGATCCATGCTGTTCGCTATCAGTTTCTCTACTTGCTAAAGGGTTTGTAAGCAAACAGCATGGATCTTGATCAGACTGCTCGAATGCGCTGGCTGGTCTGGATCCAAGCTGGTCGCAAAAGCAGCACGTTGGTTTTGTCATGGAGCGGCTTATATTTCATACATGAATGTTTCTTTTATCTTAGTCTGAATCATAGTTTTTTCCATAATTATTTTGAACCATATTTTCCCCCCAAAAATGGATGGGACCGATTTTACTAATTTAAAATCCGGAATTAGTTCATGCACATCTTGCATGTTTTGTATTCATACGCCTGCTTTAACAACATATCGATTAACCGTAGACTATCAATGGAAAAATAGAACATTGTATTTTATACTGATTTATTTTATGCATTTCTACTAAGGTATGATATTAAAGGAAAATTACTTGAATAATACATTATATTTTGTACTGAGTGAACTATTTTACGCATTTTACTCAAGGTATATTTTTACTAATATGTAAGGTATATAACTTATAAGAAAAGAAAAAATTCATGATTCTGATATTCTGAAGGTATGTGATATAAGGAAAAATACACGACAGGAAAATATTTTGATGGGGTGCTCTCATTAATTACATGAATTTGTATATCAACCAGCCTGTACACTCTAATGGTTATAAAATTGTATTGTGGCAGTACAACTTTCCACAATCAAATCAAGCCATACAACCAATCAGAATAGAACATTCATGTGTTATTACCTACATATATTTTCGTAGGTAGTCACTTAATTAACCTATCTAGTGTTTAAGATTTATTGCTATAGATACTCAACTCTTTCCTTCAATAAATTGATAACCTTATTATTGGAATGCATAGAGTTCACCATGAAATTTCAGTTTCATGATTACTGTTCTGTCCGGCCCTGATTAAAGTAATATGGATTCATGCCCCTTACAGTAAATGTACAAGTTATAGACAGGATTGATGCATGCTTGATCATTGTTTTCCTTAGTTATCATAACCTCATTATTACTCAAGCATAAAATTTTGTCTGTTAATAATGACATGTAAATACAATGAATAGAATTATGAATCGTGACTGTTTCAGAACATCTGTCTTCATCTATTTATACAGTTTCATATTGCATCTTGCATCATTTAATATCAATTGTCAACTATATTTGTACAGATCATCTACTACACCCCATCTCCCACCCACCAAGACCCGCCCGCCCCTTTAGCAGTTATGACAGTTGTAACTGCAAAACTGTGTGAAGGAAACTGGTTTAATCCTTGCCATACTGAAACCAAAAGTGGTAACCCTTTGCCCCCAGTATAGAGTCAGGCTGGCTTGCACATTTGTAACCTCTATGCTATTGGCAGATCAATTTTTGTACTTTGAAAATGAAATCCCTACTTTTCTTAAAATAAGAAAATGGACAGTTCAAAGTTCATACCTAGGTAATCTTATTATACAAATTGAGCAGGTCAAGTCTTTAAAGCTGGATAATAAGGTGGTAAGATAAAATTTTGCATGTTGTACATATAATATCCCTTCAGATAAATTCTTTGCTCTTACATATTATATTAGTTGACAGATTTCTGTTTGAATCCTGTATAAAACATTCAAGAAGCATGTTCACGTCAAGCTTATGCCAATTCATTTGGCTCCATAAATTCTTGGAAACTCATATTATGACGTTATTGATTTGTTGAAAACTAGTTGTTGTGGTAAAATATTGTTTTGCATTTGTGTTGATCATTGTTAAGATCATTTATCATTAAGGCATTATTCATTCATTTATTAAACATCAATCAGTACACTAATTATTTACGAAAAAATAAAAATAGTTATAACTGATCAGTGACCATCAACCGAACACTTTTTTCCTGAAATTTCGTCTCCAAGTTAGAGAGCTAGTTTGTTTATTTCTGATTATGTTGACACTTGTATTTATGATCTGTGGACTGGGGTATTGGCATTCTTTTCACCAAAGTTTTTTTTTATTACTTTTAAAGAAATTTATAAATCAATTTAATAAAGTTAATTATAGAAGAAACATGTTTTGTTGTTAATAAAAAAAACTTACTGAATATTGGCTACTACTGAACAAAGGAAATGACAATCTGGAAATTTTTGGGCCGTCTCGGTTTTGGTGGTCCGTGACCAGTTTGTATTATGTTATTCATGCCATTACTGTATACTTTTTAACTTTGTAAAAATAGGGAAGAATTTTTTATTTGGGTTGTGTTCTTTATTCTGAATATTCTTTGACATATAATTATATGAATTTTATCTTTCTTTTCATTTTGAAGAACATTGAAATCCACAATATTATTTGCCATTGAAACAGCTGTGTACATGTAACATTGATCAAAAACCACAAAAACTGATGTCCGGCAATATCTTTATTATTTCACTGGCTGTTTTCTTGACACTTGTATTCATTTATTGCTTTTGAAATATCTTGATATTTTGACAAATTTGAAACCCACCATGCTCTTTTGTTTCCTGCATGGTCGAGGGGTTAGAGTCTATGACTTCTAATCCAGTCACCTCTCTGGCTTGGGTTCGATCCCCAGGAGATGCTTTGGTAGTTTAGCACGGAGGAAGTTTGTTTAGAACTAGTGTAACTTTCCAGGAACGATGGTTAGGAAACTACCCGCCTATATGACTGAAATACTGTTGGGAAAAGTCGTAAAATGAAACAAACAAATAAAATTGTTTCTGGATCTATAGTCATTCAAACTTTGGGACTGAGAACACATCATCAGATACCCACGGCTGTACCATCAATCATGGGTATCCGAGGATGATTTTTAAAATCATATAAAAATATTCAAGAATGTGTTACACCAACTTTATTTAATACATATAACAATGAACCATAATTATGTGGCATGATAAAATTTTAGATTTCAAAAATTACAAAATTTAGTCGAAGCTATTATAATACAGTAGGTAAAGAACGATGATTGTTTAAAAAAGTTTCTATGTCACTACTTTAAGCTGAAAAATGTTGATGGATGGGATTTAGATTATTGCAGGTTAAAAGTTAGCCTGTCATTGATTTTTTTGTTGCACTCCATCAGACTACTCTTATTTTATCTGATTGTATGAATATAAATACTCATTAGGTAGAAATATATATATACATGTATTATTTTTGGGAGCCTTAGTAAAATGCCTTGCTTAACTTACCAGTACTGATTGTCATATAGAGCATCAACTGAACATATTAGAAAGATAACTATTAATGGCATAATAATATAATGCCAAAGTGGTTGTCTCCCTTATGATAATGTCAATGCTAAGGGTTATCTAGGTTAAGCTACAGATCTAGCATAATACCATGTCAGTCTCTGTGGGTATGATACATCAACCTACAGGTTATTTTTCTGTTTTAGAACAAATTAAAATACAATGTACATGTAAGCATGTCAACCAAGGAATTTGTTTTGTTTTTAGTTGAAAACAGATATGATTATGTTAATTTGTGTAAGGAATTTAACAACTATTAAATTTACTTAAGTCATGAATATTGACTCAAATTAGCCAGTACCTACAATTATTTGCTCCACAACACTATGAGTTTGAGTCCTGCCAATGGACTTCCAGTTTTTTTGCTTTTCAATGAAAAACATGTAGATGTTGTAAAACAAAATATTTAGCAAAAAGGTTTGATATAAGCTAGAGTTTAGCTAGTAGATATATATGATTAATTGAAAATGTTTATGTTTGTTTAGAGATTTAAGTTATATCCATTACAGCCTGTAATACATTTTTATACATGTAATGTTGTCTGTTTTATTTGTACCCTGATAGTTTTGTCCAAAATCTTAAGTTCATCAATGCTCTCAAAATTTTCTATTATCACATTATGAATTTCCTTCTTAAATACCTATAAAGACCTAGGCAATTACTGATAATGATGCTAAATGGAGGGTTTTCAAATAAAGGTCAAGGTTATAATTGAATAATTCAACATACAAGTTTTGTCATAATGATTCTTTTGTCCAGGTATAAATGAAATCCTTAAATAAATAACAAAGATATATGAGACTCAACTTAATTTTTATTTAAAGGTCAAGGTCAAAATTTTCTTTTCTTAACAAAATTTCCAATATTTCCCCTATTTCTCTTTCAAAATTTCCTAATAGTACATTTCTTTAAAGCCTACAGATTCATGCTAATTTTCACGAAAATTTGAAAATGTATTAAAAGTATAATTTTGTAAAGTTACCAAAAGAATGCAATTTACACATTATCAATGGCACTTACAACCCATGTAAGTTACCAAAAAGAGGTCAAAATATACATAAACAGCCCTTACTGCGTTAGTAACGCAGTAGAAATAT